ACACAGGAGACATTCTGGAAAACTATTGACGAACGAATGCTGATTGCAGACACAAGCGCAGATGGAATAACATGTGTAAAAATGTGTGAACGCGGAGTTAGTAAGAGAGGAAGAAAACGACGAGTTTACAATCAGTGTGCTACGGGAACAGTTAGCATTTACACCTTAAGAAATATACTGCAGGAGACGGAGCACCTGTGGGTTTGCCCAGTGTGCTATGATGTCGATTCTTAAATGAGAAAAATCTTCTTTGCGTTCACCGGCTGTAAACTGGCAAAATAACTGGTTGTTCGTCCACTTCTAGATTCTAGTCTTGTTCCAGACCGTGGGTCCTGCAGGCATTTCATAGATTCGGTTTATTTATTCGCAGACTTTTGGTTCCTTGCTTTCCATGCAGATGCACTCCGACTTTCCCAGGAGACCCTGATTAGTCGATTCTTACAACATGCTGGTAGGGGAGGTAGTGGAACCCCCCCCCCCCCCCCCTTTTTTCCCCTTTCCGCACAACTGACGCGCCGGAAACGCCTTTCTTGGTCTATCTACTTTTTCTTTTTGTATTGTTTTTTTCACCTTTTTGTATCCTCGTCTTCTTCTCCTTTTTGTTTCATCTTCTTCTCCTTTTTGTTTCTTCTTCTCCTTTTTTTGTTTTTTCTTCTTCTCCTTTTTGTTTCTTCTTCTTCTCCTTTTTGTTTCTTCTTCTTCTCCTTTTTGTTTCTTCTTCTTCTCCTTTTTTGTTTCTTCTTCTCCTTTTTTGTTTCTTCTTCTCCTTTTTTTTTTCTTCTTCTCCTTTTTTGTTTCTTCTTCTTCTTCTCCTTTTTGTTTCTTCTTCTTCTCTTTTTTGTTTCTTCTTCTCCTCCTTTTTGTTTCTTCTTCTTCTCCTTTTTTGTTTCTTCTTCTTCTCCTTTTTGTTTCTTCTTCTTCTCCTTTTTGTTTCTTTTTCTCCTTTTTTGTTTTTTCTTCTTCTCCTTTTTGTGTTTCTTTTTCTTCTCCTTTTTGTTTCTTCTTCTTCTCCTTTTTGTTTCTTCTTCTTCTCCTTTTTGTATCATCTTCTTCTCCTTTTTGTTTCTTCTTCTTCTTTTTGTTTCATCTTCTTCTCCTTTTTGTATCATCTTCTTCTCCTTTTTGTTTCTTCTTCTTCTCCTTTTTGTTTCTTCTTCTTCTTTTTGTTTCATCTTCTTTTTGTTTCATCTTCTTCTCCTTTTTGTATCATCTTCTTCTCCTTTTTGTTTCTTCTTCTTCTTTTTGTTTATCTTCTTTTCCTTTTTGTATCATCTTCTTCTCCTTTTTGTTTCTTCTTCTTCTCCTTTTTGTTTCTTCTTCTTCTTTTTGTTTCATCTTCTTTTCCTTTTTGTTTCTTCTTCTTCTCTTTTTTGTTTCTTCTTCTTCTCCTTTTTGTTACATCTTCTTCTTTTTGTTTCATCTTCTTCTCCTTTTTGTATCATCTTCTTCTCCTTTTTGTTTCTTCTTCTTCTTTTTGTTTCATCTTCTTCTCCTTTTTGTATCATCTTCTTCTCCTTTTTGTTTCAACTTCTTCTCCTTTTTGTTTCATCATCTTCTTCTTTTTGTTTCATCTTCTTCTCCTTTTTGTTTCTTCTTCTTCTCCTTTTTTGTTTCTTCTTCTCCTTTTTGTTACATCTTCTTCTCCTTTTTGTTGCATCTTCTTCTCCTTTTTGTTACATCTTCTCCTTTTTGTTTCATCTTCTTCTCCTTTTTGTTTAATTCTCTCTCTTTTTGTTTTGTCTTCCCTCTTTTTTGTATCGTCTTCTTTTCCCTTGTCTGTATTCTTCTTCTCCTTATTGTTTCTTTTTCTTCTTCTTTTTATGTCGTCTTCTTCTCCTTATTCTTTTGTCTTCTTCTCGTTTTGCTTCTCCTTATTATTATGTTTCAACTTTCTCTTATTTTTTTTTATAATCTTCTTCACCAGTTTGATTGTTTCCCCCATTCTGTATAATAATTTTTCTTCTTCTTTGTGTGTGTGTGTGTGTGTGTGTGTGTGTCTTTCTTTTGTGCTCTTCTTTGTATGTGTGCGTGCGTTTTTGTGGGTGTATGTGTGTCTATGTCTGTGTGTGTGTGTCATCGTCATTGTAAAATGTAGTGTTACCCTTCCAGATTTGCAGTACAAATCTCAAAACCTCAGAAACTAAGTTCAACCATATAGCCGTCTGGAACAATTTTACTGAGGCACCACACTACGGCGTGTCTTTTTCTCCTTTTTATTTATGTGTGTTTTTTTTTTCAATATCGTCACCTCCTCCAGATTTTGTCATCATTTGTTATCTTCTTCTCATTTGTGTATAATCTTCTCCAGCTGTGGCATTGGCTAGACGCCCGCCTGCGGTTCAAAAGGTCGTGAGTTGGCGTCCTGACGGAGCCGGACACTTTTTTTCACCAAAAATGACCTTGAGTAGGTACCAGGTGCAGTCATGGGAAGTAAAGGCGGTCGGCGTGATGCTGACCACATCACCCACCAAGTGCCGTTGGTCTATAAAAATCTAGGTCCAGCCCTATATTCCCCAATACGCCTAAAGGCGTGGAAAAGGGACCTTTACTTGATTTACCTGTTTTTGTGATCTTTTCTTTTTCTTGTATCAACTTCTCCATTTTCTTTCTGTTGTGTCTTCTTCTACTCCTTTTTATACCTTCTACTCCTCCTACTTTTTTGTTTGTCATCCTACTTTTTTTATTTTTTATTTTATTTTACCTCTCTGGAATTTCAGTACAAATGTCGGAAATCCTGATTAATCTTTTAGCCAAATAGTGCAGCTGTATTGAAGCACCACACCACAGTCACCCTGTAACCTGTAGTCTAGTGTGGCTTCCCATTTTCATCATATCTTCTCCCCCTTTTCGTATCATCTCTGTCTGTTCACTTTATCAGTATGTNCAAATCTCAAAACCACAGAAACCAAGTTCAACCATTTAGCCGTCTGGAACAATTTTACTGAGGCACCACAGTACGGCGTGTCTTTTTCTCCTTTTTATTTATGTCTTTTTTTTTCTTTCAAGATCGTCACCACCTCCAGATTTTGTTATCTTCTACTCATTTGTGTATAATCTTCTCCACCTGTGGCGTTGGCTAGACGCCAGCCTACGGATCGAAAGGTCGTGAGTTCGCGTCCTGACGAAGCCGGACTTCCCCCCCCCCCCAAAAATGACCTTGAGTAGGTACCAGGTGCAGTCATGGGAAGTAAAGGCGGCCGGCGTGATGCTGACCACATCACCCACCAAGTGCCGTTGGTCTATAAAAATCTATTTCCAGCCCTATATCCCCACTACGCCTAAAGGCGGGGAGAAGGGACCTTTACTTGATTTACCTGTTTTTGTGATCTTTTCTTTTTTCTGGTATCATACAACTTCTCTATTTTCTTTCTGTTATGTCTTCTTCTGTTCCTTTTTATACTTTCTACTCCTCCTACTTTTTTGTTTGTCATCCTACTTTTTTTATTTTTTGTTTAAATTTAATTTTACCTCTCTGGAATTTCAGTACAAATGTCGGAAATCCTGATTAATCTTTTAGCCATATAGTGCAGCTGTATTGAAGCACCACACCACAGCCACCCTGTAACCTGTAGTCTTGTGTGGCTTCCCATTTTCATCATATCTTCTCCCCCTTTTCGGATCATCTCTGTCTGTTCACTTTATCAGTGTCTCTTGTAGCAGTCTTTTTTTTTTTTTTTTTTTTTTTTTTTTTTTTTTTTTTTTTTTTTTTTTTTTTTTTTTTTTTTTTACAATGTATGAAAACTCAAGAATTGTAATTACAATGTATGAAAACTGAAGATTTAACATAAAAATACAAGAGCTAGTGACGCTGAAAATACAAATGTCATTTATTTTAGGGTTTTAAAAATTTGGCGTCTGGATTCTACCACACCCAGACATACATTATGTATCCATGAAAACAGTGCCTACATTGAAAAGGGTCTTGGTGTGTGTGTTAATATACTAGCAACAAAAGAAGTATTCAATGAACACCAACAGAGTCAATCATTAAATCAAGTATACACTCCCCAGAGTCTAGAAATATATTTATCAGGAGACAACTGTGACCCTAATAGGAAAATCTGACAAATAACCTTTAAAAAACCCATAGGGTTTGAACTTTGGCATTCTGCAAAGTAACAAATAACTGTCGATGAAAGGTACCCAAACAGAAATTGTCAACATTGCAGCTGGGTGATGACTATAGCCAAAAATAAAGAGCTAACAATGCAAACATTGATACGGATGTATAGTTGTCATGAGGAAAGCGTGTCTACTGGCGCAGCTTGGTATCTAAAAACTACTGAGATGGAGTTTGTCGACGAGCTATGACAAGTAGGAGTGAACAACGGTTGCTAAAGGTTTACTTAAAAGATGGCAAGTGAGCTGCTGTGGTTAAACGTAGAATGATCAAGTACATTTAATGGTGTTTGTGATCATGTTTCTCCACATCTTCTGAACTTTAATAATTGTTAACACAGACATTTAACTTTTAGTCCCAGCAGTTTGAATATCAGACCCAAGGGTTGGTAAAGAAAAATGTAATATGTGCACATCTTGCGTTCATTGGGCTTCTATGTAGGAACCTATTAACGTGTGATGAGAGAGTTAAAGGGTGAATGCATAAGATTTTTACACAGAAAATGAACAACTAGGTCTCTTAATTCTGTGATCTTAATACACCTTGCCACCAACAAATTCCACAAATATGTGATTTAAAAATCCCGGTTACTACAATTTCTTCACATTTGTGATTTCAACCAGATACATTAATTCACTAAGTCATCTCATCAGCATTCAAACATTACAAAAACATCTGCTTTTATTAAAAAGTTCAAAGAACAACAAAAGATCATCCACACATTGCAAATTATCAGTTTCATTGTAAACAAAACAACATCAGAGGATAACAGTGATATGAAATGCTGACATACAAATTGCACACCAAAGTTTGAACGTACATCTGAACTAATGCAGCACAGACAGGCAACCATCAAAGGACAGTGTTCCCAGGTGGACCTCTACCTCATCTTGTAGTTAAGACTGCAAGAAGCATCAGAAAGCTCTCCGTGAAAGTCTACGCTGACTGTGAAGTCTAGATCTCTGTTGTTCTGCTTGTTTGGGGTCAGAGAAAAGACACCATTAATCTCTTCGCCTCTCTTGATAGTCAATTCATTGTCACCCAGGTAGAACACAGTCTGTTTCCAATGTGTGTACCGAGAATCAGGGGATGTGGAGAAGCCAATGTTCTTGTGACACTTGGAGAACTCAACAGTGAAGAAAGTAACCAGGGCGTGCATGTAGTCATTACGCAGACAGTTCAAACGGAACGGAGTTGAAAATGCAATGTCCTCCTCTTTCACAGTGTAGATGTCCACTTCCTTGACCAAGAATGAATCGGCAACAACTTGTTTGGGATCTACAACATCCACCAAGGGTTCTCTCACAGCCACATCACGTATGCAACCCATATCAAACCCATATACATTATCCCACCAATTGATTTTCTCATCCTTGTATTGCCTGTCCTCGATGGCTGTCACATACAGCGATGCTTTATCTGGGAAAATTAGCCCACCAGGTTTCAGCCATTTATCACGTGCATAAATGACAGTGTTCAGCATGGACTCGTAGAACAGACAGTAGCCCATCCACTCAGAGATGATGATGTCCACTTTATCGATACCGTCCGGCAGACTCACCTCTTCCACCTTGCCCTTGACCAACGAGATCACATTGTCAAGTCCATTGGCAGCAACAATTTTCTGGGCATAATCAATGATACTGGAACATTCAATCCCGATAACTTTGGCTGCTCCAGCCTTTGCAGCAAACATGCAGAGAATACCTGTACCACAGCCGACATCCAACACAACCTTGCCTTTAAACAAATGCTTGTTGTAATACATTGAGTTTCTGTAGGTGAGTGTTCGAATCTCATCTTTCAGCATTTCCTCGTGAATGCCAAAGTTTCTGGGCATAATCAATGATACTGGAACATTCAATCCCGATAACTTTGGCTGCTCCAGCCTTTGCAGCAAACATGCAGAGAATACCTGTACCACAGCCGACATCCAACACAACCTTGCCTTTAAACAAATGCTTGTTGTAATACATTGAGTTTCTGTAGGTGAGTGTTCGAATCTCATCTTTCAGCATTTCCTCGTGAATGCTCAGCGGAGCTGATTTTGAAGCCAAACAGGCAACCGTCGTATTGATACAGACGCCTGAATGGCCAGGGCAAGAGTGCCACGTAAAGCCTAGTGAAAGTGAGATTTCTGAATGAAAGGTGGCCGCACACGCCAAAGTAAGTTATGTTTTGTGCATATTTTCTTTGACGGTTAGCCAGCTGGGCACTTTAAACACTCTGTGACGGTTAGCGGGCTAGTTAACATGACAGGCGAGTGGATAAAGCAGTCCCTTTAGTCGGGACAAGTTTTCACTCTAAACTGATCGAAGACATTTGATGTTGTGAACTGAAAGTCACAGTGTCCGGCAAACGGCTTGACATTCGACGTGTGTAGTAGTACAAATGTTCTGTTGTTTTTTTTAGAATCGACTTAATTTGCACTGGATGATTTGTTTTCTTTTTTTTTTTCTGCCAGACTCAGTCGCTTTTTGTCAATAGTTTGGTACAAGGCACGAATTCCTCAGCTCTGGCGACGAAATCGCACTTATAAACGGAACGACGGAGTCCGAAAAGGCCACCCTTCCGTGACATTGACAGCGAAAAAGGTAGCCGCTTGACCAGTTGACCACCATTGGAGCCCCCCCCCCCCTATGCTATCAGTCCTCATTTGAGAGAATATACGGCATATTGCTACAGTAGTTTACAGTTTGCATTTTTGCTGAATACTCCCTCCTCTCTGTCTGTCTGTCTGTCTGTCTGTCTGTCTGTCTGTCTGTCTGTCTGTCTGTCTGTCTGTCTGTCTGTCTGTCTGTCTGTCTGTCTGTCTGTCTGTCTGTCTGTCTGTCTGTCTGTCTGTCTGTCTGTCTGTCTGTCTGTCTGTCTGTCTGTCTGTCTGTCTGTCTGTCTGTCTGTCTGTCTGTCTGTCTGTCTGTCTGTCTGCCTGCCTGCCTGCCTGCCTGCATGTCTGTCTGTCTATCTATTTATCATCTATCTATCTGTCTGTCTATCTTTATCTCTCTATCTCTCTGTCTATCTGCTTGTCTGTCTGCCTGCCTGCTGCCTGTCCTGCCTGTCTTTCGGTCGCTCGCTATATATACAGTAAAGTAAAGAATCATTTTTCACGCCCGCAGGCGTAATAGGTATATAGGGCTAGCCCTACGTTGTATAGACCAATCGGCACTCATCCGATGTGATCAGCATCACACCGGTCGCCTTTACTTCCCATGACTGTACCTGGTACTCATTCAAGGCTGAGTCGACCTGGGAGCCAACGACACCGTGGGGACCCGAACCGCGACCTTCCGATCCACAGGCAAGCATCTAGCCGCTACACCACGACGGGTCCACTTATATACAATGGAACTCAAAAACGTCTGTCTCCACGACAATATTCGCCTTGTTTTTTTTTTTTTTTTAATCAGTAAAATTTACTTCAGGTGATCCGCCGTGGTCTAGCGGCTAGATCCTCCCCCCTGTGGATCTGAAGCTCGTGGGTTCGGGTTCAGATAGGGGCCGGACTTTGTTCAGAATTGACCTCGGCTCCCAGGTCGACCCAGCCTTGAGTGGGTACCAGGTACAGTCCTGGGAAGTAAATGCGGCCAGTGTGGTGTTGACCACATCCCCCACCAAGTGCCGTTTGGTCTCTAAAATATAGGTTTAGCCATATATACTCGATTCGCCTGACAGGCGTGAAAAAGGGTCCAATACTTTTACTAAAATGCACTCCAACTTCGAAAGAAACACCCCCTATATATTCGACTTGAATGATGTGCTTGTTGCGTGGGCAGTGGGCCTGTTAATGGGTCCCCCGCCCCATATGGCCTTGAAACCAGCACGAAGAGATCACTGGCTCCTTCCCGTCTTTCCAGACGATAGTGTTATATTACGCTATGACGGTTCATAGCATTTTGTTCCCACGAATCCACCTCAATACCTGTATCTTTCATGTCCCAGAGAGATGAAGGATATCGAGATGGGGAACTTTAGAGTTTACTCGTGGCTGTCTAGTTTGCCGTCAGTAAATCGACGTTCTACAAAGGTATTGTTACATGATGATGATGATGACGAGGATGAATGTTGCTTGGTCTCTGGGTAGTAAGCTCGGACGCCCGTGTGTATTGTTACGCGTGTAACAATTCCCTTGGCGGTTGGAAATCGAACAAGAGAAATCTAACGGTGCTGTCTGGAAAAAAATTTGGAGATACAATTCTCTCCAAAGTATTTCAGGATCCTCGCCGATGCAACGGAGTTCCTGCACTGCGCTGGGAATCGTCGGACTCAGTCTTGAGTTAGAAGAACGGAACACTTTTGGGTTACACCCGTGTGCCATGATTTTGATTCGTTGAATAAACATAAACACGACGAAAATGATTAGGAGGAGGATGAGGAGGATGAGGAATGTCCCTCTTGCCGTTTGCATCTCCTGATAACTGCTAACAAATTGAAAATGAAATCGTATCCTGCTAAAAGACATTAGCAGCTCCAAGAAAAGGCAACTATCAGAACGTAAGAGAAGAGGGGAAATAACTCCACATCCAGTGATGGATATGTCTAGACTGGGGGATGGCGTGTCATGAGAGGCCAACAGGTACTTTATTTTCTTAACTCTTAACATATCACGTACCACTTGAGGTGACTGACGGGTTAAAAAAAACCAAAATTTGGAATTCCACTTCAAGTTTTTCTTATGCAATTATTATGTTCATATAATTGATTCTGGTATTATGGTTTGTTGTGGTGCCACGGTCGGCGTCACTGACTATACACTTCCCGACCTAGTGTGGGACGCAGTTTTTTTTTTTTTTTTTTTCGTTATATTAAAGCGCCACCCCTAAATATAACCTAACGGTTGAACGGGGTTTCTGGGATTTGCGCCCGGGCGATTCTCATCCGTATGGTGGCACTTTGATCAGTGGGTGTTTGTCGCTTGTTGTGCGATCGTGGTAGGGGTAGACCGTCACTTCATTTGTGACAGTCATATGCGTGTTCTAACCTTTTCTGCAGCAGCCAGCGCACTAGGAGTAGGGAACAAGAGAAAATGAACGAATAAAAGAAGATTATGATGGTGATGGTCATGATAATAATGATGATGAGGGAGAGGAGGAGGCGAAAGAAGAAGAAGAAGGAGAAGGAGAAGAGGGAAGAAGGAGGAGAAGAAAAAGAAGAAGAAGAAGAAGAAGAAGAAGAAGAAGAAGACGAACAACAACAACAACACGCTAGTTGCCGTCCGATTGCCAGTCACGTTTAATTGCCAGTTATGTGCTCAGAACCCCTTTGGAGGCAAGAATCAATTTTCATTTCTGTAGACTCCCAGATCGCTGAAGTCCACACCGGGAACGAACAAGCGGTAGATGGGGTATGGACTATCTCCCCCCACTGGTTGCTGTTCCGTGGAAACATTTGACGGTTGCGTCATGTAAATAGCAACGTTTGCAAGAACGATCTTAATGATCTCACACATGGAAACATTTGACGGTTGCGTCATGTAAATAGCAACGTTTGCAAGAACGATCTTAATGATCTCACACATGGAAACATTTGACGGTAGCCTCATGTAAATAGCAACGTTTTGCAAGAAAGATCTTAATGATCTCACACGTGAAAACATCAAACCCGGTGTATCTTACTGTTGGAGGGGAAAGGGGTTTGTGGGAAATTAATGAGACAGTCAACAGCAGATGGTGAGCCCATGACGCGCGGTTTTGTGGGATTATGATGATGATGACGATAATGACAATGATGATGATGACGATAATGACAATGATGATGATGACGATAATGACAATGATGATGATTGTGATGTTGGGGAGGATGATGACGATAATGATGATAATGAGGACGATGACGACAGTGATGATTATGATGGTGATGATAATGTTGTTGATGATCATCATAATAACGGTGATCCCCTTGTAGATTCCAAGGCCCCATTGTGGGGAAAAACAAAATAGACCCATTGTCTCCCCAGCAAGCATGTCGTAAGAGTAGACTTATTAGGAGCTTTCTTCAGGGTCGGGGTGCATCTGCCTGAGAGGCAAGGAACCAGCAAAACAAAATGATGATGATGATGACGACGATAATAATGACGATGATGATGATGATAAGAATGATGATGATGACTGCGATGATAATGATGATGATGATGACTGCGATGCTGATGATTATGATAATGAAGACGGCCTTGATGATGACGATGGTGACGATAATGATGATGATGATGATGATGACGGCCTTGATGATGACGATGGTGACGATAATGATGATGATGCCTGCGATGATGATGACAATGGTGACGATAAAGATGATGATGACTGCGATGATGATGACGATGGTGACGATAATGATGATGATGATGACGGCCTTGATGATGACGGCCTTGATGATGACGATGGTGACGATAATGATGATGATGACTGCGATGATGATGATGATGATGATGGTGGTGATGATGATTATAACGGCGATGCCTGTGTGGATTCCGCGACCCCATTGTGGGGAAAAAAAGAAAATATCCACTGTCTCCCCAACAAGCATGACGTAAGAGACGACTAACTGGGAGCTTCCTTCAGAGTCGGAGTGCATCTGCATGAAAGGCAGGGAACCAACAGTCTGCATTCAAGTAAGTCAGATCTGTAAAACTGATGTGCATGCAACACTAAATTTCTGGTTCGAGAATAATATCCAGAGGTAGACAAATAACCAGCACTTTCTGCCGGAGTTTACAGCCGGTGAACGCGAAGAAGAAGAAAGACGATAACGGCGATGCTTATGATGACGATGATAGTGACGATGACACCTAAGATGATTATAAAGATGATGATGATGGAGATGACGAAGGTGAGGATAATTATGGCGTAGGTAATGGTGATGATGATGATGGTGACGGTGTGACAGTGATAATGATGATAACGACGACGACGACGACGATGATGATGAAGATAACGATAATGGAGATGATGACTATGACGATGATTACGATAGTGATAATGATGACGATGATGACGACGATGATGATATTAATAAAGATGATGATGGTGATGATGTTGATCAAGTTAATTATGACGATGGTGACGATGATACGGCGGTGATGATGACGATTACTAACACCACTGCTGCTGCTACGACTTCTTCCTCTTCTTCTCTCCTTCCTCCTTGCTGTACTCCTTTCATCTTCTTATTTGTTGTATTCCCTTCCTCCCCCACGCCCTAGTATTAGTGTTGATATACTTACTCATACGTCAACAGAAACAACATCTTTCGTCCACGCTGATGATGATTCCCACTTTCAAATTCCAACATCACACCCTCTAACTGTGCCGGCCTCGCGCAATCCTCTTTCTAAACATCTCTCTCATATCGGAATTAATGAACAAGAGGAACAAATCGATGACTGATTAAAGCTTCCAGAGAATAATGGATACGCTGGTATTTAACTGGAAGTAGAAAACAATACAAAATAACGGTTTGTGGACAGTAAAAGGGAAAACACTAGGAAAGGGAAGAATTAATCTAGCGATGGACAGACGCCCTATGTAATCTGACGGTTAGCCGAGTCTGTGTGTGTGTTCTGTTGTGTGTCTTGAGTCTTGCGTGTTCTGTTGTGTGACTGTGTCTTGCGTGTTTGAGTCTTGCGTGTTCTATGTTCAAGTCTTGCGTGTTCTGTTTTGTGTCCGAGTCTTGCGTGTTCTATGTTCAAGTCTTGCGTGTTCTGTTTTGTGTCCGAGTCTTGCGTGTTCTGTTGTGTGTCTGAGTCTTGTGTGTTCTGTTGTGTCTGAGTCTTGCGTGTTCTGTTGTGTCTGAGTCTTGCGTGTTCTGTTGTGTGTCTGAGTCTTGTGTGTTCTGTTGTGTCTGAGTCTTGCGTGTTCTGTTGTGTGTCTGAGTCGTGCATGTTCTGTTGTGTGTCTGAGTCGTGCATGTTCTGTTGTGTGTCTGAGTCGTGCATGTTCTGTTGTGTGTCTGAGTCGTGCATGTTCTGTTGTATGTCTGAGTCTTGCGTGTTCTGTTGTGTGTCTGAGTCGTGCATGTTCTGTTGTGTGTCTGAGTCTTGCGTGTTCTGTTGTGTGTCTGAGTCTTGCGTGTTCTGTTGTGTGTCTGAGTCATGCATGTTCTGTTGTGTGTCTAAGTCGTGCATGTTCTGTTGTGTGTCTGAGTCTTGCGTGTTCTGTGTTGTGTGACTGTGTCTTGCGTATTTGAGTCTTGCGTGTTCTATGTTTGAGTCTTGCGTGTTCTGTTTTGTGTCCGAGTCGTGCGTGTTCTGTTGTGTGTCCAAGTCTTGCGTGTTCAGTTTTATGTCCAAGTCTTGCGTGTTCAGTGTTGTGTGTCTGAGTCGTGCATGTTCTGTTGTGTGTCTGAGTCTTGTCTGTTCTGTTGTTTGTCCGAGTCTTGTCTGTTTTATTGCTTGTCTGATTCTTGCTTGCTTGAGTCTTGCGTGTTCTTTTGTGTGTGTGAATCTTGGGTGTTTTTGTGTGTGTCTGAGTCTTGTGTGTTCTATGGTGCGTGTCTCTGCGTATAGCGCTTGTGCCTCACTCATTAGATGAGCTAAAAGTGGAGTGACGCGAACAGGTTATACATTTCATAATGTTTTAGATATATTATTTATTTGGCATTTGGGACAATAGTACTGATATTTACTATTTTCACTGCACACTTAAATAAGGCTTAAGCGCCCACCATCCCTTGACCCGCCCCTATAGGGAATTATAGGGTAACATAAGGGGGGCCCACCAATGTTTTCTGTGTGACGGCTCCCCTTCTATGCATACTTTCTGTATATAGTATTTACACACGCATTGGCGGTCTCCGTTGCGAAGCGTTCAAGCAGGTTGCCTCACGTTCGGAAGGTCATGGGTTCGTTTCACGGCTGCATCGTTCCGATCACGGGTGCAGTTTTTTTTTTACGGAAACCCCTGGGGATCGTCGCTGAAGCTACGGAGTTCGTGCTTGGTGCGAACCTCTCGGTGTATATGGCTAGCCACTGTGCGGAGACAGACCGAGCGCTATTATCATCATGTAGCAGGTCCTTTGCAGAACGTCGCTCTCATCACGGTCTCTGTGAAAGACACTCGGTCTCGCCAGCCCTCCCGCCTCGTGTACTGTTCATATTTACTAAGTCATTTATGTTTTGTTTTTTGCCCGTCTGTATGTTGGTCGCCTCCCCCCCCCCCTTTCCCTCCCTTTCCTGGTATCATGCCTTTTGCTAAAAAAATCTTTCTAATTCGCTATGCCGCTTGATATAAAAAGAAAAATGAAAAATATTTCAGCTTCTGAGACAAGCTGCTGCTTATTAGCCAATCTTGCTTGGGTTCAGATTTGATTTGATTTGACTCAAGAACCGACATCACATCACTCGGGGCATTCCCATAAGCGCTCCGTCCCCATCTTCTGCAGCCAGCGAAGAGTTGCGATACTAATGGTGCCAGTAGCATTATGATTAAAAGTCCGTCTTGCCTTTCCTCTGAGACTCGAGCATCTGCCAGAACCTCTCGTCACTTCCAACTGCATCAGTCTCACCACACTGTGGTGATCAATCTGCTCCTCCGCACTGTACACGCTCTCCCACAAGGCGCTAACCATGTCTGCCTTATCATGCATCAGTATTTCACCAAGCTGTGCAGAGCCAGCCAGCTGAGACAGTGCCGTGTCGGAGTGCCGGTGCAATGAAGTGGACCCTCTCAACGTTAACTTGTAACTTTTCTATTTGCACGATTCTCATTTCAGGTTGGATGTTCCACTTTCCCCATGGACACACCATGGTGACGAGTGCCCCTGATCTTTTTGAGAACGGAAGTCCGGGGGACATCGCCAACTGTTGATTGACAGCAGAAGAGGCAGAAGTACGCCAGCCGCCTGGTGATCAGCTAAGGCCTGGGGGTTAAGCTGGGAACAAGTGATCGCCCATCATGGGAGAGTTTACAGCTAACAGCGGGCTGGATCGATGGGTCTGCCCTAATGACAGACAGCTCTCGTTGCGAGCAAAGTAAGTGGCTGTCTGCTATTTCGGACTTGTCTTTAAGAGCTAGAGAAAAGAAGGTAATATAGGCCTCCCCAGAAAACATGGGCTTAGAGACTCATTTTGCACCCCCCCCCCTCCTCCCCCACCCCCACACACATTTTTTCAAATAATTTTGTAAGGAATCTAAGTAGCCGCTTAATTCATGTATATAAATTATTTGTTAGAGTATATGTTTATACATGGCTTATTATTTCAATTATTATAGTTATTTATCATTTAGAACATTATTATTATGCTTTTAAACTAGGACTATGCTCTTGTTGAGCGCCCACCTCGACCCTAATAGAATGCAAGTGATGTTTTGAAGTATTTATTTATACAGTTCATACTGTTTCAGATATTATTATGTTTATTTATTCAGCACAATATTATTGTGCTCTTAAACTAGGAGTATGCTCTTGATAAACCCCCCTCCTTCCCCCTCCCCCCGCAATAATTCTGTGGAGAGGCTCAGCAGCCCCTAATCATGAATAGAAATTATCTTTCAGAGTCAGTTAAGCTCTTGATTGTGGGGAGCCGCCGTAGTCTAGCGATTAGAGGCTCGCCTGCAGACCTGAAAGTCATGAGTTCAAATACTTAACAACAGCAAGATACATATTTTTTGAAAATACACAATATCTTTTGTGTAGTATTTACGCCCTTCAGTTTTGTGTTTGTTTCATGCACAGCCACACGTGACACGTTCTAACTGCAATCTGTATCTTGTTATCCTTAGTGTTGGTCTGCTTCTTGAAATCTCAACAGGTATTTCTACTGAATATCATTCATTCTAACCTTCTAGCTTGATATGCATGAGCGAATCAAGGACAGTTTGTAAATTGGTGAAAACATTTTTGGAAATTAAGTTTAAATGTTTTATAGACCAATGATGAGAATACCCCGGGTAGATACACAGAATAATGACGTTGTCTTGAAAGAAACTTGGCGTCCGTGGCTTAGGCGTTGCGAGTCTGACTGGTGATCCAGCGCACCGAGATCGAAACCCACTGCGGGCTGCGTGGATTTTCATCATGGTATGGGGCATCGCAGGTCGACTCAGCCTAGAATGGGTACCAGGATGGGCTGTCCTGGGAAAGTAAAGACAGCTGGCCTAATGCTGACCACATTACCCACCGAGTGCTGATGGTCTGTGAAAATATGGGCTCTTTTCCCATATGCCTGATACACCTAAAGGCGGGGAAAGGGTTCTTTACCTTTTTTCGTTTACTTGAAAGAAACTGGCTCAAGAAGAAAACCCGATTGCCCACATCAGAAGGGGAGTCTAAATTCTTTGGTCATGTGATGAGAAAGAGAACACTGTTGTACATCATCATGACAGTAGGAAAGTTAGAGGGGCAGAGAGAGGGGGACGAGAGGCAGAGGGAGACCGAGAGAAAAGATGCTGGACAGTTTGACATCATGGCATGGAGGATCATCTGTGTCAGAGTTGATTGAAAATACACGAGACAGAAGGTTGTGGATAGACATGACTATCATCGCTACGTAGCGTGGACTTAAGGAAGAAGATCATTTATGTGGCTATTCTGTGTAGTAATGGTGCTTCTTGATTTCATATTGGATGCTTTGCGTAGATGTCCATGGCAACCTTCTGTGGAGGCACCCACTAACCGTCATATAAAATTAATAGGATTTGGTCCCAGTAAGGACTAGACATCACAAGTGATCACTGGCATCATGAGAGCTAATAGACTGAAATGGAAGGGGCATATTATGAGTATGGCAGATGACAGAGAGGTAAAAATGTTGTACACACGGGAGCTTAATGGTCGTAGACCACCAGGCAGACCAAGAAGACGATGGAGAGATGCAGACAGACCTGCAAATACTTGGTGTCCCAAAATGAAAAGAGAAGGTTGGCCAGAGAACTAATAAACTTTATTTTCAGAGGGTTAAGAATTGGTCTGACAGGCCCGTTTGACATTCTGCCCTTCTAGTCTCATTCCTTTTATACATAATTTCATTCATACATCAAGTACTAGTGAAAATCAACAGCATCACAATATTTAACACAAGCGCTGGAATGTGCACATTTCTAACTACAGTAATCTTAGTAGTGTAATAATTCTACGGAAAATAAGCGTTTTTTCTCAAATATCATCATCATCAGGTGCCTTGTCGCGATCATGCCTCTCCATAATCTGCGATCTCCTGCCGCATGTATCAGTTCGTGTGCCGACACACCTCCATGCCATGCATCAAGACTGTCAAGCATCTTCTCTCGTTGTCTTCCTCTATCCCTTTTTCCACAGATCTTTCCAGTGGTCACAACACGTTATATTTTCCCTCTTCTCATAACATGGCCGAAAAATGATGACTGTCTCCTTCTGATGTCTTTGATAAGTTGTCTTCGGGCTCCCGCCTCTTTCAAAACCTCTTGGTTGCTCTTTTTGGCTGTCCAAGGTATTCTAAGCATTCTTCTGTAAAACCACATCTCTGAGGCCTCTAAAAATTGTTTGGCCTTTCTCAAATATAGAGCACTAATGGTTTATAACCGTTTGCAGTGACGCTGGTTCACATCTCCCAATTTACTCTGGGTTCGATTCCCGGCACGGTAACTATACCGCTTTTTATGTTGTCTAGTGTGTCCTTCTATCTTTCTACATCTTTCTGTGAATGGCAATCATTACATTATCTGTTTGTTTATAACATATAAAATTAGGGGTGTTTCCTTCGTAGTGTCTGTTTGTGTGGTTTAGGTGTTGCGAACGCGCTTCTTAATGCCAAAGTGTCAGGTTCCATCCCAGCTGCGGACGATTTGTCTTACGTTGGTTTTGACAGTGGTTTGGAGAAGCCCACCATCCAGAAAGCAATGGCAAACTACTGGATGTAAATTTGCCTAGAAAAACCACAACAGCCAATAAATGCTGGGGTTGGTTCTGCAACGTCCTGTAAACGATAAGCAGATAACTTTCCTTTAAAGTATATATTGGTCTTTCATTCACAGATTGGGCACTGGCTGGTCAGTCCACACGAACCGGATGGGCAACTTTACCCGCCCTGACCAGCTGTCCCTGGAGGAGCAGGAGCAGATACTTAATGTCATAAATAGAGCAGAATTTCTGGAAGGCATCGAGCAAGAACGTATTGGGTAAGAGGAGAAATCTTCACTGGTTGTTAGTGTTGATCAAGATAACAGTTCATCTACTGTAGAATTATGAATTGGATCTCTTCCCTTGCTGCTGAAGATAGGGCTGGAGCGCTTATCGGAGCATTCCAAGTGCTGTGATGTTGATTTTTAATTTAAAATTCATTCAACAACATTAAACACTCTACTATAGAATGTTAAATGTTGAATTGGGAATCGCTATCACATCACTCAGGACACTTCCATATGTGCTCTGTCCCCATCTTCAGCAGCAATCAAAGATTTCCAGTTCCGATGGCACCAGTAACTGATTGTTTATCCATTTTGCCTTTCCCTTGAGTGTTGAGCATGGGCTAGACTCCCTGGTCTCTCCTTGCAGCACCATTCTTCTCAAACAGTGATGATCTCTCTGTGCCTTCACACTGTTAACTCCCAAGGGATCCTTACAACTCGCTTATCAGTTCATTACTAGGTGGTGCAGAATCTGCCAGTCTGTCTATCTGTTTGTTTCCCAGCACACTGGCATAGTCTGGAGAATATAATAAAAGGATGCTAAATACCCAGTACCTCTGAAGTGGTTCTTGCCACTCTGCGCAGGGCATACCTGTTTCCAGCTTTCCCAAAATGCTGTGAATATAACTATATATATGTATAGCTATAAGTTAATTGATGGATCGAGTTCAGTTCCTGGCGGGGGCCAGACATTTTTCTTAAATGTCCTATAGATCTAGCCCTATATTCTCAATAGGCCTGAAAGGCGTGGAAAAGGATCCTTTACTTTTTACTTTTTTTCAAAGCTAATGAAGGACTGGAGAGAGAGCAGTAATGGGGGGTTGCATCTTCTGAAGAAGAAAATAAAAACGAGGTAGAGGCCGACCTTTGCGAAGTTGCATACAAGACACTGAAGATGCATTAGCAATAAAATCTAGAGAATTGCCTAGAGAAAGAGAGACGATGTTTGAATCTCAGATCAAATGATTCGAGACTACCACAAGATACAGCGCTCTTTGGAAGTCGATCTAGAATATCACATTTTGCAGCGAGCCGTGATAATAGCAAAGTAGCCGTGATAATAGCAAAGTAGCCACGATAATAGCAAAGTAGGCATGATAATAGCAAAGTAGCCATGATAATAGCAAAATAGCCATGATAATAGCAAAGTAGCCGTGATAATAGCAACGTAGCCGTGATAATAGCAAAGTAGCCGTGATAATAGTAAAGTAGCCGTGATAATAGCAAAGTAGCCGTGATAATAGCAAAGTAGCCGTGATAATAGCAAAGTAGCCGTGATAATAGCAAAGTAGCCGTGATAATAGCAAAGTAGCCGTGATAATAGCAAAGTAGCCGTGATAATAGCAAAGTAGCCATGATAATAGCAAAGTAGCCGTGATAAAAGCAAAGTAGCCTTGATAATAGCAAAGTAGCCGTGATAATAGCAAAGTAGCCATGATAATAGCAAAGTAGCCGTGATAATAGCAAAGTAGCCATGATAATAGCAAAGTAGCCTTGGTAATAGCAAAGTAGCCGTGATAATAGCAAAGTAGCCGTGATAATAGCAAAGTAGCCTTGGTAATAGCAAAGTAGCCGTGATAATAGCAAAGTAGCCGTGATAATAGCAAAGTAGCCATGATAATAGCAATGTTCTGGAGTGGACCTGATATATGATGATGATGGTGGTGGTGGCTCTTTCCCTTGTCTCTGTGACGTGTCTCCCATTTGATGTTATCCATGAACTTAAATTTTGTTTGTTTGCAGGAGACTTGTGGATAAATTGGACAACATGAAGAAAAATGCAGTAGGCAATGGTAGCTCCCAGTGTATCCTCTGTGGGGACGAGTTCAAGCTCCTGGGAGCTTCACCTTCTTACTGTGATGATTGTGCAAAGGTATGTGATGCTGTCTTTTTTTTTTTCTTTTTCTGCTACAGTTGGCACTTTAGTTATTGTGGTTAATTTTTATAATATATTTGTGTGTATGTGTATTTTTTGTTGTTTTTGTTGTGGCTTTTTTCTGTTATGTTAATGCTTTTCTGTTGTTGCTTTTTTCTGTTATGTTAATGCTTTTCTGTTGTTGCTTTTTTCTGTTATGTTAATGCTTTGTTGTTGTTACTTTTTTCTGTTATGTTAATGCTTTGTTGTTGTTGCTATTTTCTGTTATGTTAATGCTTTGTTGTTGTTGCTTTTTTTCTGTTATGTTAATGCTTTGTTGGTGTTGCCTTTTTCTGGGATGTTAACTCTTTTTTGGTGTTGCCTTTTCTGTTGTGTTAATGCTTTGTTGTTGTTGTTTTTGTTGCTGCTGTCCAGAAAAGACTGCAGCAAGGCTCCTTATCCTAAATTGGAAACAAATGAAGTAAAATTGTCAAATTGTTAAGCACATGATTTACTTCTATATAGTGGTTGTCAGAAGGAATAAATGAATCAAGAATTGACATCACTGCACTCGGGACATTCCCACATGTGTTCCATCCCCTTCTTCAGTAGCCAATGAAGAGTTGACATGCTAATAGTACAAGTTGCAACGTAATTATAATTCTTAACGTAATTATAAGTCTGCCTTTGTTTCCTCTTCAGTGTTGAATATTCCCCCCCCCCCCCCCCCACCACCTTGTATTAATGTTTCAGTGTATGGATTCCCTGTCTGTTCTTTTGCACTGTCCATTTAATCCCTCAAAGCCTTCACCATATCTGCTTTATCATATAGCAGCTCACCACTGAGAGTAGCGGCAGCAGCCAGTCCATCAGCGTGCTTTTTACATTGCACACCTGAATTTCCTGGACAGAAAATCCATGATCTAGGTCTTTTCAAGTGATGCAAGCCACTCAGCACTCAAGACTCCAGTTTTAGGTTCCTGAAGCAATCACAATACGTTGGGCGGGGCTATTCTCAAGCCATTGGAAAGCTGCCATTACTGCCTCCACCTCCATTCTCGTACTGGATGTAGTGACGTACAAGAGGCTTTCTGTTTTCAAACAGTGCCCATTCACCTTCGCATAGAGGGTATCAGGATTTGTGTTAAGTTAAGGCAGTCTGCATTGTATTGACCACATCAAATGCTGATTGGTTTATTCAAATATGGGTCTTTCACAGTAAGCCTAATGTGCCATTGGTGTAACAAAGGTTCGTTACTTTACTCATCAGTAAGCCTCAGAGGTTGAACTGAGCCGAGTTCCCAGAACTGACATCACAGCGATGTTGACATTCCCATAGAAGCTTCCAATGTAATTCCACTTTAACATGTCTCAAATAAGTAATCTTCACAAAATAATATACTTGTTATTCTGTTTATACCCTTTAATGTATGTGTCACCCAATAGTTGTCCCCTGTTGGCTTTGGCATCCCTAGCAACTGAAATGTGCATTTACTGTGTGGGCATATTTCTGGATTGTTCCTGGACTAATTGTTTGTTCACCAGTTTTGAAATGAGACAATGAGGGACATTTCATTTGATTTTCACTGGCACAGGAATGGAGCAAGTATGGGAAAACCCGATTGCAGCGAAGTTTGATCCTGGACTAAAACGTAGTCGGTCTGTTTCTGTGAGAGTAAAAAACCACACAGAAATGTCTATTGCTATCCCTTTGCCAAAAAAAACAAAAAACAACATTGAAATGGACTGCAATCTGGGCAAAGCAGTATTCACCATCCGGGGCTAGTTTTGCAGTTCATGTCAGTGGTAACACCAATCACAGTGAATCAACAGTTGAAAATGCACTGTTGCATAAGATACCACCAGTTCTGTGGCTACAAGCCATTTCCTATTTTCTGAATTCACAGTTCACAACATATACCATGCTGGTCACAGTCGGAAAGCTTTCCAAATGAAATCCATAGCTTACACTGTCATACCATGCACTGAGCTCAGTAGCTGGGTAACAGAACTGCATACTTTCAGTCTAAATATGGGGAGAATGCTAAAGCTAACCATAGTTAAAAGCAAATAACTTGTCAAGTGTAAAACTGTCTGACTGCTTGTCTGCCATAGTAGATCATAATGTTGGTGCTATTATTACTGTTAATGTTGTTGTTGTTTTGCTGCTGATGTAGTTGTATTGTTGTCATTGTTACTGTCACTGGTATTTTCTTCCGCTATTGTTACTGTGTGTGAGAAAAGGGGGAAGACTAGGAGGAGGAGAAGGAGGAGGAGGAGGAGGAGAAGAAAGAAGAAGAAGAAGAAGAAGAAGAAGAAGAAGAAGAAGAAGGGGAAGAAGGAGAAGAAGAAGAGGAGATGGAGTAGGAGGAGGAGGAGAAGAACCATCAAAAAAAAAGATTGAGTAGAACACATAAGAGATAGAGCAGGAAGGGAAGAGAAAAAGAGGAAACGAGAAGTATGGCGAATTGCAAGATGATTAGGGGCAGGATGAGATACAGAGAGAAAACACTGGGAAAGAAAGAAAATGCGAAAGTGACAACAAAATGTAATCTCACTTCAAATCATTTGCCTTTGTTAAGTCCCAAATTCGTGTATGTGAGACTGGACACTTACTAAACAAGCTGGAAAGCGCATAAATGCCCTTGAACACAAATGTTATAGACGGGTTCTAAGAATGTCATAGGTAAAGAAAATAACAAATGCATACATACTTCAAGAACTGAAAGACGATAAAACACAGAAAATTGACATATTCTGGTCACCTGAAAAGTCACGAAAGTTTAGAGATAACAATAATGGAGGGGTATATGCCTGGGAAGAGAGAAAGGGGAAGGCCAAAGACAAGATGGGTGCAGGATGTGCAGATGATCTCCAGATGGGTGTATCTGATGCCGGTCATCTTGCTTGTGATCGAGAAGGTTTCCGGAGGGTTGTTAGGGTCTGCAAAGGACAGGCTACTGACTGACTGACTGACTGACTGACTGACTGACTGACTGACTGACTGACTGACTGACTGACTGACTGACTGACTGACTGACTGACTGACTGACTGACTGACTGACTGACTGACTGACTGACTGACTGACTGACTGACTGGCTGACTGGCTGACTGACTGACTGACTGACTGACTGACTGACTGGCTTACAGAGTCTATGAATTAAAGCTTATAAGGATGTCTTTTTTCTGCTTCTTCCCCTTCTTGCCTTTATCCCTCAGGGGAAGAGCACAAGCCCTCAACCAGACTTTTCTCCACAGGGGTTCCGGGATCCCATTTTGGGGGTTGGAAAGGGGGGGGAATAAAGAACAGACCTATTGCCCCCTAACAAGTATGTCGTAAAAGGCGACTAATCAGGGGTGTTAACTTAAAGTTGGGGAGCATCTACCTGATAGGTGAACTAACAGTCTGTATGCAAATAAGACACATCAGTAAAACTATTGTGCATGCAAAACTCAAATTCTGGTACAATACGAAATTTCAGAAGTGGCGGAACAACCAGAACTTTTTTATTTCTGTTTGCACTTAGTGAACGCTAAGATAACGATGATGAAGAAGAGGAAGAAGAAAAGAGGGGGGAAAAAAGAAGGAAGAAAAAGAAGAAGAAAAGGAAGAGAAAGAAGAAGAAGAGGAGGAGGAGGAAAAAGGAAAAGAAGAAGAAGAAAATGAGGAGAGTTAAAAGAAGAAGAAGAAGAAGAAAAAGGAAGAAGAAAAAGAGGAAGAAGAAGAAAAAGAAGAAGAAGAAGAAGAGGAAGAAGAAAAAGAGAAAGAGAAAAAGGAAGAAGAAGAAAAAGAAGAAGAAGTAGAAGAAGAAGAAGAAGATGTAGAAGAAAAATAAGGAAAAGAGAAAGAAGAAGAAAAAGAGAAAAGAAGAAGAAAAAGAAAAGAAGAAGATGAAGAAAAAGGAAGGAAGAAGAAGAAAAGGAGGAAGAAGAAGACAAAGAAGAAGAAAAAGATGAAGAAGAAGAAAAAGAAGAAACAAAGAAGAAGAAGGAGGAGGAAGAAGAAGAAAATGAAGTGGAAGAAGAAGATTAGGGAGAAGAAGAAGAAGAATAAAAAGAATAAATAGAAGGAGAAAAAGAGGAAGAAGAAGAAAAAGAGGATAAAGAAAAAAAAAGAAAAAGAAGAAAGAAGAGGACAAAGAAGAGGAAGAAGAAAAAAGAAGGAGGAGGAGGAGGAAGAAGAAGAAGAAGAAAATGAAGATAAAGAGGAAAAAGTGGAAGAAGAAGAGGAGGAGGAAGAAGAAATAATAATAATAATAAGACGAAGAATAAGAAGAAGAAAAAGAGGAAAAAGAAGAAAAGGAAAAAAGAAGAAAAGAAGAAGAAGAGGAGGAAGAAGATGAAGAAGAAGAAGAAGAGAAAAAATAAGACGAAGAAAAAGAAGAAAGAAGGGCGAAGGAGAAAAAGAAGAAAAAGAGAAGAAGAAGAAACAAAGGAGAAGAAGAAGAAAAAGGAGGAAGAGAAAGAAGAAGAAAATGAAGATGAAGAGGAAAAAGTGGAAGAAGAAGAAGAGGAGGAAGAAGAAAAAGAGGAAGAAGAAGAAAAAGGAGGAAACAGAAGAAAAAGAAGAATAGTAAAAATTATAATAAGAAGAAGAAGAAAAAGAAGAAGAAGAAGAAAAAAAAAGAAAAAGAAGAAAAAGATGGAAAAAGATTAAGAAGAAGAAGAAGAAGAAAAAGAGGGGAAAAGATGAAGAAGAAGAAGAAAAAGAAGAAAAAGAAGGGAAAAGATGATGATGATGAAGAAGAAGAAGAAGAAGAAGAAGAAGAAGAAGAAGAAGAAGAAGAAGAAGAAGAACGATAACACGACCATATCCTTTACTATGGCATGCAGCTCTCCCCGTCTTTATAACGTATCTCCAGTTTTATTATCCCTGCTTTTTTTTTTCCTGTCTGCCTTTATGAGCAAAGATACTAGCCAGTGTATAAGGTAGCTTTCAGCGATTACGTTCTTCTTGTGAAGTCGCCCTTGCAAGGGCGGTCAGCATGTTGACTTGTAGTTTACAACTAGTCTGTAA